CCCCAAAACCCCAAAACCCCAAAACCCCAAAACCCCTATTTTATTCGAGGAAATTGGTATAAAATATTAAGTCTTTTCATAATTTAAAGTATGAAACCGATTTTGGTAATATCTTTGATTCTGTGCGTAGCATTTGCTGGAATCACGATGGATTTAGACCTCGAGCATGGGCATAGTGAGGACTACTTCAACAATTTGGAAAGCCAGAAGAAGAACGGCAAACTCTATGTACATATTGTTCCTCATACTCATGATGATGTGGGATGGCTAAAGACAGTAGAGCAATATTATCTTGGAGCTAGAGAAGATATCCAATATGCAGGTGTTCGCTATATTATAAGTGGTATCTACAATGAGCTTATGAAGGACACTACTAAGAAATTCACTTATGTAGAGATGGAATTCTTCCAGAGATGGTGGGAGGAACAATCAGAAGAGGTTAAGAAAAATGTTCAGACCTTAGTTGACGAAGGAAGGTTACAGTTTGTTAATGCAGGTATGTCCATGAGCGATGAAGCTACTGTTCATTATGAAGATTTCCTCAATAATATGAAAGCTGGCCACGATTTCTTGAAAAGAGAACTAGGATATAAACCGACCATTGGATGGCAAATTGATCCATTTGGTCATCATTCAGCTACAGCAGCCCTCTTCGCTGAAATGGGATTCAATGCTTGGTTTTTTGCAAGAATTGACCATAAAGACAAAGACAGAAGACTTGAAAACAAAGAAATGGAATGGCTCTATAGACCATTTAGTGATACTTTAGGAGCTAGAGCTGAGATCTTTACTCATATGATGTATCATCATTATAGTGCCCCACCCGGTTTTAACTATAATGAATTCCAAGATGAGCATCCTATTTTTGATAACCCAAAGTATGATAACTATAATGTTGACAATAAGACTGGGGAGTTTTACAAATATATCCTCCATATGGCTGATCATTATAAAACTAACCACTTGTTGGTTCCATTCGGAGATGACTTTAACTTCTCAAATGCTGCAAAGATGTTTTTCAATATTGATAAGTTAATCAAGAATATGAACGAACGCTATGAAGACGTGGAGTTGTTCTATTCTACCCCTAATGAGTATCTTGAGGCTATCCATGAAGCTGATATTGAATGGCCAACCAAATATGATGACTTGTTCCCATACTCAGATGGAGATGATGCTTATTGGACAGGTTATTTCACGAGTAGAGCTAACATCAAGGGGTATGTGAGAGAAGTCTCAAGAGACTTACTTTCTCAGGCACCTTTCCTTGCTGTAGATAATATGCTTAACACTCCTGAATCCTACAATAAGTTTGAAGACTTGTTCAACCAAATGGGCGTCTTGCAGCATCATGACGGAGTTTCAGGAACTGAGAAACAACATGTAGCTGATGATTATGTTAAGAACTTACACAAAGTGCATACTGCTGCTAAGAATCAATTCGTTGAAGCTTTTGATAGACTATTTGATACAGGACTTGAAAATCTTTCAATGTGTTTATCTCACAACTCGACCTACGATCATTGTCCTACAAAGGATTTATTGAATGATGACGTTGAACAAATTGGCCTCATTGTTATAAACTCTTCAAACAAGAGAAACTCATTGGCAAAAATCCCTCTTCCAAACTCTAGAGTAACTTTGTTAAACAATATGGGAGAAGAAGTTCCTGTAGATATTATTTGTGAAGCAGACACTTCTGAGAACTGCGAGGCTTACTTTGAAGTGAACGCAACTCAATTTTCATGGAATATTTTCTTCTTTAAGAAGACACACGAAAGTAATCACTTGAGAGCTAACTCGAATCTTCAGACACTTAATTTTGGATCCCTTACAATGGGTGTGAAGAATACTAATGGAGATATTGAGCTTGAGTTCTCAAAAGATGGAGAGAAGAAACAAGGTGTACTCATGAGATATATGTATTATAATTCTTACCAAGACATTGAAGGACAAAGATCTGGCGCTTATATTTTCAGACCATCAGAATCAGATGAAGAACCTCAAAGATACAGCTCTACTTATACTTACGATGGACTTCAGGGAAATTATGTAACACAAGTGAGATTTTATGGGAGTGAAGTCAACAATTATGTTACAGGAAACATCTTCACAGATTTTGTTGAGATAAAGACAGATCTTTTCGGAATTCCTCTTGGATTCCAAGGACAAGAGGTTATCCTTCATCTTAGTTTCCCTGAGATTCAAAACGGAGGTGTCTTCTACACAGACTCAATGGGTATGCAAATGCAAGAGAGAAAGTTAGGCTATAGACCTACTTGGGAGTTTGAATCCACTCAGCCAGTCTCTGAGAACTACTATCCAATCAATCATGGAATGACTCTTAAGGATGATAAGATGACATTGGAAGTTCTTAATGAGAGATCTCAAGGAGGAACATGCCTTCAAGATGGGTCAATGGAATTCATGATACAAAGAAGAACTTATAAGGATGACTCAAGAGGTGTTGGAGAAGCTCTTAATGAATCAAGAAATTCAGACAAAAGAGGACTAAGAGTGATCACAAGTCATTATCTAAGATTCTACAATAACACTGAAGATATGGAGTTTAACCAAGATTCCAGAGCGATGCAAAGAGAGATCGATAGTCCTTTCACTTATGTATTTGGTACTGTTCCAGAAAACTTCACTTCCCAAAACTCTCCATTTATCCTAGGACACGAAGACCTCTTACCTGATAGTGTAAAGGCTGTCTTCCTCCCTCAACAAGATGGTACTATCTTTGTCAGATTTGAAAACATGATGGATCCTATTTCGCTTAACAAGACTGAGACAATAAATGTAACTGAAATTGGTGAGTCTATTGGAGAAGCGATTGGGGTATCTCTCCAACAAATCACTGAGGTTTCAAATACTGGTTTGTATACCATTGAGGAGATGCAGGATATCAAGTACAAGTGGAAAGGTGTGGATTACACTACTGAAGAAGTTATTTACAGCTCAGATCCAAGCAACACAGAACTTGGACCTCAGAGAATCAGATCATTTGTGCTTTCTTATGCAAAACAAGCTGAAGCTATTTCTGAATAAATATACTCATTCAACCATCTCTGCTTCAAAGGGGTTTTGGGGTTTTGGGGTTTTGGGGTTTTGGGG